AATTTCCGATCCTTTGTCCCTAAAACGAAGTCTGGAAATGTAATCCGGCACTTGATTCGCCATTTCTCCAAGTATTGTCAATGTCTCGCAGTTTTGTAAACACAGTTGAAGTCAGAATCGAAAGAGACAATGTTTTGGAAAAGATTTCTTCCATAGTACAAATCCTTTAAAAGCCTAAAAGTTTGCGTTTTGACCGAGAAAGAGGTCCCGTTGTCTCACACTTTAATCCACATTGTCTCCATCTAGACTGACTTTGTCGCGTGTACTTCAGTCAGTAACTCGTCCGTAAGTCTTCAGACATCCGAATAATAGTTGTTCCTTCTTTGGACAAGAAGCGCTGAATTGATTAATCAAAGCATTCTTTTGACGCCGTCAATTTTTCGTCAGCTCTCCTGCGTGAAAGGAGACTGCACTGATAAAGATGAGCAGCGTGCATTAGGATGTAAGCGCGGGCCTGCAGCGGGACACACGATATCAATGATTCCACCTGCGTTAGTTTCAATGATTTATATACGGCAGCGCGTTCAACATCGCCCCTCGTCGGCTCTCGGAGACATAAATGATGCAGGGGATGTCTTTATTCAGACACCGTCCGCCAAGATGTCTTCAGACCCTGCAACGTCTGGATTTATTCACCACCCTGTCTTGAAAAAGTGCAAATGATCGAAATTAACTGAGTCGCCCGAGTAATTTTGGCTGTAATTGGTAGATGGATGCATCGATGGCAGTGGAAACTCCTTCTTCTAAACGATTTGTAGGAGTCTGTGTATACAGAAGTACTTCCGGGACACAGAGGTAAAGAATTCCATCAGAGGACAATGGTTCCCCTCAGTATAGGTCCCCAGATGGCAACCACTCGCAATGGTAATTTATATCCAGGGCTGTTGTTCAATCCGACCATCTAATATCGGTCAATTTTATGGCAGAAAAAAACAGGCGGGTCCGTTAAAAATTAATCGAGTCTATTGCCGAATTCCCAGAAAAACAGTCCTCACGTGAATCGATAAAATACATCATAAAAACCGACGATAACACCTGGTTTGGTATCCGTTACCTGCACCTTGCAAATTGAGTTATTGATGATATTATTCCTCCTGCCGAAACAGGTCATTTCAACCATGTAATCAATCCTCCTCTCGCGTTTAAAAAATAGAAAACCCCTTGTCCCATTTTTCTTTCTCATATTTTACAAATTAATCACCATCCGTAAAAAAAAGTAGGAGGCAGTGGAAATTGCCTTGCCTGTGTTTACTGCGACATTCTTACAACACTAGCTGAACCCGTGGTATTTATCTGACGATTCCTTCAACTCAGCAGATGCGGGCCAAACTCTGAATATCACTCAGGGTTCAAGCAGAGCCCGAGTGTCTACATTAGATTAGGACTGTTTCGTTGTAGGGCCTGCCATGTTGTTTCAGCGTCTTTAGGATGTCAACATAGATGCTCTGAGCATAATTAGGCCCACGTCTTAGTCACGATTCAATGCAGTGCTATCACACAGACGCATCCCCCGGAGTTTTGCCACGTCCCTTTCCTAGCGAAACTCATTATCATTTTAGATGTCAAGTAAACATACCGAAGTGGAGACACGACATGTTGTTGACGTATCGGCTTGTTTTATATGGCCACCACAAAATAATCCTATCGTCTACTCGCCCTTGACCTCATAAATCTCGAAAGTTCATTGTAACAATTGTCTGATTAGTTGCTCTGCATAATTTAGGATACATCTTATTGTTTACTCACGGAATGAAGGATTTTCATTCATTCCATCGGTGCATTTGAGCCTGTGAGCTATTTTACCTTAAGAAAAGCGGTTGCTTGCATTTTAGTGAGACAAGAAATTTTGATTTCTATTTTTTGCTTTTTTTAGTGTTTTTATTGCTACGTAAGTTTAAGCCAATCGGGCGGTGACTTCCGAAATTCAATAAATAAGCCATAATTTCCGATTGATGCTGTAAATCATGAGCAACACCGCAAACGCTCCGTAATTTTTACCAAAACAATGTATACGCATGACGTCACAGCGCGGTGTGGAGAAATGTCATAGGCCTATCTGATTTGAATACCCACGAACCGTTGCTTAAATCAAATTTTTTGGCCATTTATCGCGTCTGCGGATTGTCAGAAGTCGTCTACTCTTAATTAAAGGTCACATTATGTCGGAGAAAATTTCCAGCGTACTGCGCTTAATTGTTTTTTGGCAATGAGCAAGCGGCAGGCGGAAACCAGTTACAGCTGGTTCGGGATGGAGAGGCGTGAGGATAGACTGGAGGATCGGCTTGCAACCCTGGGGACAAGGTTGCAGCAGCTGCTCTGGACAGTTGGTGCAATTAGCCAGCGGCTAATGGTGACAGAATGGTGGACAGGTTACCAGACCGAGAGCAAAATAGGAAGAGCTCTGGCTCCGATTAAGAGATGAGGCACTCAAGGTCTGGTAATGACAGGCCCAAATATCGATTTCTCCATTTCCACATTACAAGAATGGTCTTTTCGAAAACTGAAGGCGCTATTATACCTGGGGAGATAATAAACCACTTGGCCATTAGAGCAAATGTTATGTGAGGTTTCTATCAGCATCGAGACATCTTCCACACAGCATCAAGCGGCCGGGGACTTCGGCCCTACAGCCCATTAAAATTGAAAACCGCCAACACCCAAGCTTTGCGAGTTGCTAGCAGCGGGGATCAGGTCAGACCGCGTGCTCACAATCGGTTGACAGGCTTATAAATGATTATGAACTGGCCAGCGCGGTTAATAATGCATGATTTGGCACCCTTTGCTTTGGGAGCGCTAGTCCAGCTAAATCGTCTTCTTCGCCGCTTGTTATCGTTTCCAGTTTTATTCATTATTTGGCCCAGGTTGCAAAGTGCCAAGGAATAGGTAGCTTGGCCCAAAATGAGGCATCTTAGGGAAATAGTTGCTCCTTTTAATTAAAGTTGTGAATTTTTGTAATCTTAAGGAGTGCTTTCAATCCTTTGATGAGATAGAAGGCGTAAACACTCCGGAATAATCACAGTCGGTGAAATTTGACGTAGGCCTAAATACTATTCCTTAAAAATTTCAGAAGTATGCAAAAATTGGCAGTGGAATCTTACACCAAAATGAGTTAAGATTTCTCTAAATCTCTAGCTCTGGGCACTCTCTCTGCATGGTAAGAAAAAGCGCACGCCGGCATGTCGGGCACGGTCTACCCTTCTAGATAAAGTTTGATGCTCCACGCAAGCTCACTCAACCGTCTTAATTAAAAAAATCTGGGTGCCTTAACGTGTCATTAAAATGCATATGTAATTTCAGACGAGGCTCACCAAGGGAACATCATTAATGCATTGAGTTTCCGGTTGGAACCTACCCATAGATTGAACCGCTGTCTCCATACATGTATAATTTATGACATGAAGACTCGGAGGTCTGTAGCACTTGAGCGCCTGCTGCACTCATGTTTTGGTAGGGTCAGTGAAAGTTTGAAAAGCTTTGGATTAAAATAAAATACTGTGTAAGCTTGCACGGCGCGTCGCTAACAAAGCGTTTTAGTTGTAAAACAAGCGTTGGTGTGATGCGTGAGTTTGCATACGTGCGTGTTTAATCAAATGTCAAAACCTGGGCGAAATCAAGTACAAATAAACAGATCCCTTTGTGTATGTATTTGTGTCTGCTGGGGGTTGTTTACATCTGTTTGTTTAGTTCTTTGTTTTGTTTCGTGTTTTACATTTCACCATTCTTTTATCGTTTGAGATGGATGGATCTCTGTTGTTGACGATGCAACGAGTGCATCTTTTTTACTCGTGAGAATTTTTCTTCTAGCAGTAATTTTAGGTTAACAAGGTTTGCAACGAATTGAGTTCTAGCAACTGCTTATTCAAAACAAATTGGGTTTAATTGTAAACAAATTCATCGAAATTACGAACAATGAACTCATCCAAAAAATTACGCACGTTATCTAACCCCAAGCAATTCCCCAACAATTCGCAAGAATATCAATTATGACATCAGATGGTACAAGTGACAACATCCCTCCCACCCACCCACCAAAAAAAAAGAGCAAACGTGTGAAAGATATGTATTTGGTCAAAATATTTGTTGGGTATAATTCCATTTCGTCAACGGATTTCTCGATATATTTCTCCCCGGGGATACCTTAGCTTAACAAGACAATTAACAATACAGAATCTTTAAAAACCAAACACCTCTCCTCTGTATCATATTCGTTCCTCATGTATTTTGTGCCTTTTTTAATTGAATTTTGTTTGTCAAAATCAAACATTAACTCGCATCTACAAAGGTGAATAATATAATGTGGTTTCACTTTGACAGCTCTTCCGCATTCCACCTTCAAATTTCGGTTCACAAACTACTGTTTCGTGATATTGTAAACTCTCGTACCTCAAGTTTGTAACTAATACAAAAACCCCTGAAACGTCAATTCGAGACCTGCAGCAAAAGAAGCGTGTGCATCCAAGAAAGCAAGTCAATTATGCGCAACTTTTCCCCTCGCCGATGTCTCTTGAGAATGACGGAGTTTGCTTCGTGTTCTCTCATGAATAAACTCCATCCAAGTTATTAAAGAGTAGGGTAGACGCATAAACCAGACGCACCAGATGATAATGACAACGCCTCGCCGTGTGTATGATTTTCACACGGTTCAAGTCTGCGCAGTTTTGTACGAGTATCGTCAAAAATGGGCCATTTTGTCATCTAAGAAGTAAACACAAAGAGAACGTGGTTCATAACAATGGATGGAATGCCCTACGGAGTCATCTCCATAGACTTGTGCACAAACCTTATGCTCTTAGAAGTGAAAAAATTTACCCAACACTTACCCTCACAAAACACGGATAGGTCTGTTTTTCGTAGTGCCAAAAACATTGAAATACCTGCCTGGTGTCGACTGTCTTCCTGAAGTAAAGATAATTACAAAAACAGTATAGATTTGAGGTAAGAGTTACTTGACATAATTATTTCATTTTTTAATGACAGTAAAATATGTTTTTCTTTTCCAGCTGGCTGAGATTTTAAACCAAGAGGAGAATTTCAAACTCATTCTGAGAACCCAGGACGCAAAACGATCCAGAAAAGATTTTGATGAGGTAGGAAGACCGAGTCCTGTCCTCCAATCCTTATGGTATTCAGCTGTTGCTCTCTAAACATCTCTCTGTCCGTTGTCGAGGTAGAGAATTTTTATAACTTTTCATGATGTAAATTCCAAAGCAGATGTTCAGCACCGTCGTCGTCTCCTTTACGTTGTTAACTTTACACCGGTTTAAACAAAATGCTTATCGTCCCCTATCTGTTCGTTTTTCGAAAACTGATTGTTCAGATCTATGGCAAACCCACGATGCCCATGTCAAAACTCACCCTTTAGCGGTGTATTTGTTACGTTATATTGTTGGAGACAGTCGTCGGTGTTCTGATGAACACCCAGCGGGACCTCTGCTGGTGAGGCGTCTTGAATAAAGACAAGTCACGCGTCACACGCGGTTTGCTTCAACACGATGCACAATTGAACTTTACTAAAATGCCCTTGCCAATTAAGGCAAAATATTATGGGGTTGCTGCACGGAGCTTTCACGATTGATTACACGTCTTGGCCGGGGACGCCACGCTTTGAAACACGGCCAGGTATTGATACCCCAAGATTGGAAGTTACAGGCCACACAAGCCGGCTTAAATTCACTATTTCGCTTGAATTTCTCAGTGGAATTACTCGCACGCAGCTACATTATTGAGAAATATATGCATTGAACATGACTAAGCTCACTAAACCAAGAGCGAATGTCATCATGCATAACTTCGATTAAGTGGGAAAAATGAGAGCTCTGCCCGCATAGTTTACTTAACCTCGTGCCAGAGCTGTTCAGTGCAAAAACCGTGATGGTACTTTGGTGTGAAATGAACACCCTTGTATGTCTTATATGGGTATCAAAAGTATTTACACCATAGTAAAGTGTTGAGTTGCCCCCCTCCATCGCCGATGACCACAGTTGACTCCAATCATGGCCGACAGTGTCAAGGTGGACAAAGTTTTTTGCAGCTCATATTGATATTGACCGTCCAGAAATTGCTAGTTGCTCTCTTTGTCTGCTCTCATTGAGCTGGTTTCCAAAAAAAATAAATTTAAAAAGACAGGGTCACTTGAGAACAAATTACGCGTGCGAGTCGGGCGTTCGGCTGAGCTGATAGGTCAGACCTGGCGCTCGCGGTAGGCTGTTCCCGGATGACCGCGCACGCGCTTCATTTAGGGCATGCGCTGTCGGAATACCAAACTGGCTCTTTCAAAGTCCTGAAACACAAGTTTGAATGCTCGATAAAAGACATCAATAAATGGCACGTTAAAAGGGAGGACAAACTCTCTCAAAAATAGAGAAAGGTCGACTTAGCGTAACAGTATTTTATTTCAAAAACAACCGTAATGAATTATTAATTAATCATCTTTAATGAAGACTGCGTGATCAGTTTAATTAAACAAATCACGTCAAGTTTCATGGAAGTCAATACTCCTTAAATCCTCAATTTGCTTCTTCAGATGAGGATGTGGGATTTTTGAACAGTTTTTGTTTCTAACCTTTTCTTTCCAGATCTGGTGCAAGTATGATAGTGACCAAAACGGCTACATTGATTCAGCAGAACTCAAGGTAGGATCGGCATGAACATGTTTGGAGTGAAATTCCACTGGCGTACATCCTGTTCAGGTGGAGGTTTATTCCCCCATCACTTTGTGACCAGGGAGATGGGCTATTAATTGCCTCATCCCCCTGCCATAAATACACCGTTTTGATGTTAGGTTCTGCAGGGGCCTAATACATATAACAGATATACATGTATACTGGTACTCATATGTCATGAATATCGCCCCCTAATGTCATATGGTGTCAGTTCCCACCCCCCCCAAACAAAAATTTTGACGACCGGGCAAGACTCCTCTCACAACCTCGATCCCAATTCCCAGCACAAATTGACGCCACTTGCAAATTTTCTATCAACAGAATTGCTCGCAGTCGCAAAAACTGTTCCTACCAATGGTGGCAAGTAATGCAGTCATAGCGTATCTCGTGGTGGTTGCGGATTCTCCAAATTCAGTTTGTTGAAAACAATTTACCAATGCGTTCAATTGAGCGGGGACAATATTGCCGCCGCTGAAACTGGTCGATTTCGCTCGGATTTAAGTATATGTTTTGTCTACAGGTTACCAGGGAAAATCGACTGGTGGTTGCCGCTTGAACTCACACAGCGGTAAACTCTCGCAACCAGCGCAAATGAAGCCAGCGCCGTTTTCCAATACTCAACTTCGTCTCCGTCTCAAGCTGCGTTCCCAAAACCAATCCCTGATTGTGGGCCTGAAGCGTTTGAATTACATTGAATTACTGTATTTTTGGCTTTCTTGCATCTTATTTGAAGTTCTGTGGCACTATTAGACTGATTACTGCGCTTACAGCTTCAAAGTCAGCTATTAAAAAAAAAAAGTTGAAGCATAAGACGGAGCCTAAGTTGAGTATTCGAAAACGGTCCAGTATCGCTCACCGACATGCCTTGCATCTGTCCCCAGGCCAGGCACACAATCTCCATATCAAGGACACTTAGATTAAATCTGTCATTTAAATTTCACGGAGTGATCTCTCGTATCTGAAAAAAAACTTCCCTTGGAAGTAAGCGAGACATTAATCAAGACGCGATCCCGTGCATTAATGAATTTGAGTGTACGCACAGGCAAATACATGTAATTACAACAAAACGTGCATCCGCTGAGGACAAGATATCCCTCTCGAGATCCAAACATGTCTCCAGGAAGACATCACGCATGCAAGTGTGACGTCTTGACGTCTGGGATATTATAACCGCCTGTTTTTCTAGAGGTCAGACACACCCACGACACACCGTAATTTGAACGCGATTGGTTTTTTTCTCCTCTACAGCTGTTTCTCCGAGACTTGCTTCCCGACAGCAAAGTCTGCGATGCCTCTTTGGATAAATACGCTGCTGCCCTTGTGAGTATATTTACCACACAATTGTCTGTCAAAATTTGTGAACGATAATAACTACCAGTAAAATTACAGGTTATAATAACCACACAATAAAGTGATTTCTGTAGGCTCATATAATTGGAATCAGTTAAAATGGATACAACTTAAGCTCTAGATATGTTGAGGTTAGTTTGTGTATTTACAGTTGTTTTAGAAAATAAAAGCATACCTCCTTCTCATTCTTTTAGCTGAAAATGCTAGACTCAAACGACGACAAAAAATTGGAAAGGCAGGAAATGGAAAAGTAAGTTATCTCTTGAAGCCAGGATCGAATATTGTATTGCACTATAACTTGTCAGATATCCTGACTATATGACTGACTTTAAAGCATCATCGTCAGGATCACTCTTGTGTATGGTAAATTAAACAAATAAGCTAGCCCCGTCAGGAAGTGACCATCTGGGTTGAGAACAAGAGGAAGGAAATAAGTAAGACGTGACAAAAACTCTGGGGATCTAAACGGTGGACTCCGACTACTGATCCGATACACAGAACATGTAAATGGTGTCTGTATGTGGCCGATTTTTGATGCTCAGCCCAGAGCTGTTGTATAGAGAGAGTTGCGACATGAGTGTCTCAACTTGTTGGAACCAAAATGGTGGATTATGCGTCAGTGTACGCGGACAATTAGCACACAGTAGCTGCATGGTGTACAGCACACATAACAGCCGCCATTTTGGCTCCAAAGTCCAGAGTTGGCACCTCTCTCTCTTCGAACAGCTCTGAGTCAGCCGAAGCAAGGGCGCCATCTCGCTTGTACTGCATACATGGCTTAGGCATGATGAGAGAATGGCGAGCCTTTTGCTTTGACTTACGTGGACCGATCTAGTTTGACACATTGATGCCCCGTATGTCAAAGGAGAAATCCCCAGTCTGCCCAAATTACAATTTCTTAATTGTCGAAAAAGGGATTTTATATTCATTTGTGTTTGCTCTCTTGCAGGTTTTTCGCCGTTACGGATTAATTGTAGGTAAGATCTGGGACTGCTCTAAGCAAACTTTCGAAGTATTCAATGTCTAACATGTTGAACACGCACTGCGGATCCGGACCCCCTCTTGTGCCAAAAAAAATTGCCTCGAACAGATTCCCTTTAATTTCCCGCTGTGTATAATAGTAGCAGCTAGCCCCATTAGCCATCTTGAGATATGGCGGCCAAAGAGGGCGCTATTTGCTTTCTATGTAGGGCTGCGTATCGGCCAGAGTACGGGAACCAGTTTCCAAGTATAGAATTGAGCATTTGATACAACCTTACAAATTTTTCATTCATTTTGTAAAGGAAAGGATAGTTTGGAAATTTAAAATTCTAAACCAGGCTACGGGAAATGCTGAATCAACTTTCAATTTTATTAGGAACATTTATCGGCGTTTAATTAAGTTAAGACGCGACTGACAAATTTGAATGCACTTTTGGTTTGGGTATTGGGTTTGTTTTACGGGTACCTGTATGCTTTCGTCAATGGGGTGCACAGTTCCTACATTACCCGTAAATTCACGCCACTATTTCGGGGACCTTAAGTGTGGTTTAATAAAGAGATGTCATAGACCGCGACAGATCCCACGCAAAAGGCGAGAAAGTACCACATTCTAAGATGCACATGGTTGCTTGAAACGTCTTTCATTTCCTGTTCACTTTGTGCGTGGGAAGGAATCGTTGAAACAAATATTCCACTTCTTCAGTTCTTCCAGGCACCATAAGAGGGTTTTATTCATATCTAGGAGTGACTAGTTCACGTACCAGTTTACTGTTGTCGGTCGGAAACGCCGACCAACTGATTTGATCAGTGAAGGCAATGTTGGCTCCAAGTAAACCTTCAACAGGTGTCACCACAAAACCACATCAACTCTCTAATGTTGCCGCCACCACATCATTTGAGTTTGTTATGTATGCACTTCCTATCAAAGTGTTTTCACTTGTGCATATTTCTTCTTCACAGCCAAACGACGTTTACCTTGGTTTGTAAAGTGCTCAACCATTCCGACATTATCTAGGCAGCGGGGTGGCCATGACATACCCATAACAGTGTGAGCACCGACTCGAGCAGCGTCTTCAGACCTAGGACCTTTCTTCTAAACATCTTCACACTTCTTCAGATACACATTCTTGCGTGTACCAATAGCCTTAGACGTAGCTCCAGTTTTTGTTTGTTCGTTTGTTTGTTTGTTTGTTTGTTTGTTTGTTTGTTTGTTTGTTTGTTTTAGTTTAAATTTTTAAATATTTACGAATTGGTTGAAATTAGTCTTCATTCGTACCAGAAATGTCTTGGTCCTTCACACACCATTTCCAATGAAGGCAGGGAAGAAGTCTCGTACTTGTATTGCAAAGAAAGATTGTTTTTACAATTTTTAAATCTGATGATTGTGTAGCAGGCTAAAGTCTAGATGATTGATTGTATTTTTAAAATATTTTCTTGTCTTTCCCGATCCTTTCAATAGATGATGTGAAAGTAAATAACTGTAGTATCACCATGATAGAACTGCAGCTCTGTGCGATCCATTGGATACGGAACTTTTCGGTTGATGAGAGCTGCAGAGTGCGTCTATATTGTCTGAAATCGTATTGCAATCATGATTTTTAATCCTTTTGTTCACTGAAAAGCCTCCACATTTGCTGAAAAGAATTGCTTTCTACTGGACCAATGAACTTAGAGTAAATGTATCCACAAAGACTTAAGAATGGCAGCGTTAGCAAATCTTTTTTTTTTATAAAATAAAACCATAGCATTTCAGACATTAAGAATGGTTGTACAGGGTATAAGGGGAACAGATGAATTGCTTAGGTTAAAAATGTATTTATGGCGTAGAAATTGCTAATATCAATTTTCAATGCTCGAAATGTCTGTGTTCGTTTTAACTTGCTTAGCCAAACCTAATAATTGTAAATGTGTTTTGTTATTCAGAGTATTTTAGGTTAAGAGAAGTATTAAGCCAAATTGAACTGAACCGATGGGTCCTTTCTTCCTGAATTAGGGGAAAAGCTTGGTGTGAATTTGAACTTATTAATTTGCTTTTTTCAGTCTTTGTTTATAATTCATAATTGTACATTTCATTTTCCCAGGAACAGGTGAAAAAAGAACATCATTGTCACTAAAAAGACAGCTCAATGAGGCATACTGCGGACCTAGTACAAATGATTTCCCTTTCCTTAGCTTTTCTTACTTTGGCGACTCTTTTCTACCTTGTTTATCGACATTTGTTTTGCATTGAAATTCCTTATGTTTTGATATTCCTTTAGTGAAAATTTTGCTTTCCCATCTTAGCAGAATTTGTTTTTAGCAGAGGCAAAAGCTTTCGCTCTGAAGCCATTTGGAACTTGATTACTATTTATGCAATGTTTAGGGTGACTTTTTTAATTTGCTGTCGGCAATTGGGATTTATTGATATCAAATTTCTTGATATCAAACTTGATTGGGATTCGCTCATGATATCAGACCAGTATTTTTAGGATAGGATTGTAGCCTTGTTTGTGCTGTCTCCATGCCAATAACTGTAGATCTCAATAGTAAATGATCTAAATGTACTCTGCATTCCCGAACCAGGCATTATTTAAAAAAAAATGTACTGAATATCCTTACACATTTTTTATGTTTGATATTTAGTTGTTGTTGTTGTTTTTTTGCCTTGTTGAGTTTATACACTCGAATATATGCATGTATTGTCTCGTCCGTGATTGTAGATCGAACGCAAAAGAGCTGAAAATTTATCAGGAATCGAGCAATTTGGAAAGCCCTTCGAAATTTGAAATATACGCATGCATATTGTTGTCATCCGGTGTGGAATGACTCAAGGGGATTTTAATGCAAGTGCTCAATACAGGCGTTTCACAATAGTGCGCCTCCAAGAGTTTGCAACGCACTGGCCAATCATTATGCGCGAAATCTGTCGACCCAATGCGCGTTTGGAAAGGGTAGACCACATGCAGGGTAGACAGAGTTCGCGCATTGTGATTGGCCAACGCGTTACAAACTCTTGAAGGTGCACTGTTGTGAATCGCCCGTAAACTGGGAACCTACATAGGCCTACCTGATATTAGCTGAATTTTCCAATTTAAAATCGCTACGCTCTACTCAGAAAAAAAAGTCATACCTATTCAACATGAGGCTTCTCTCTGCAATTAATGTAACCCATTAAAAGGCAATAGAATTTAGATGTTTAATTAAGAGGTATGTTGTTTCCCAGGAATCGATCTCCTAAATATAAGTGGAACAATAATTTCTTATGAAAAAATCCTCAATCTGCGGCTCTACACTTCGTTTTGCGTCGGATAGTACACTGTCACTTAACCAACTATTCAGTTGGGTAATAAAACAGTTTCTCTTCGTTCTGTATCGTGTCTTGTGTTTGAAGCACTTTGTCGTGCCAGATTTTGGTTTGGCGGTAAACAGACAAGAATCCAAGGTAACACAGTCATTTTCATTGATTTACTTGAGTCCGACATCGAGGTTACAGAATTAAATTCAAATGAACAAACGATAGGCTACGGTAATTCAAACCGCATGGCATCGAATTTGGTGCAGTGCTAGATTGAGTTTACTCATGTTGAAAAGAGCGCCCTCGTGTGGTCTATGACTGCCAAGCAAAGTCTTTCAGATGACAGCACTCGGACTAAGTTGGTATCGCGCCGAACAGATTGAAACCAGTATCCATATTTTCTTATTGTCTCGAAAAAAAAGATAAACAGAACCTTTTGTTCTTTGTGCCCCTGGCCTTAAGTCAAATTTCGGGGACCCAGCACAGCATAAACATCTTGCTCAAAAATATAACGCAGTGGCATTTAATTTCAAATTTTCGCAGTAGAATATAAAAGTGTGAGATCATTTCGAGCTGGCAATTTGAAAAAAAGTCGACTTTGAAGTACTTCTAAGAATTTATTGAAGAAAAACCCTCCGAAATTCGAATTCCCCTCAACAATATTCAGGAATATTCCATCGATTTATTAGAACTACGTGAACACTTGTTTAAACACGACATCACGTCCTAAATCTAACATGGAATGTGGACCAAGCAGATTAATTGCCCTGCTGCAGTCACCGAGTTCCTGAACCACTCGATTGTACTGTGTGGGATCATAGTTCTTGCCAACCTGGGCTTGACCTTGGATCCATCATCCATGGCTTTACACGGCTTCTCAACAGCTCTCCAAACAACAATAGTTGCCTCTGTATTTAATAAAGCAAACATATTCACTTTATTGTGTGTGTTGGAGCGCATCCAGGCATTTCGTACAACATAGAATAGAAGCCGCCTACCAGTACTACACGAGAGAACGGTAGGCTGGGTACATGTACACGGGGGGGGGGCAGGTTCTGGACACAGCACTCGACAGTGTTGATCCAGTGTGAATACACCTTTCAGTGCACGGCGTGTGCGGTCAAACGTGCCTTTTTGGTTGTTTTTCCTGAACCGTAGGCGTACTGAAACCTGCCACAGGAACACAACCGCCCTGCGTGTACACATGTACGCGTGGTGCCACCGAAACCGATGCCGTATTCATGCACATGCTTAATTCTATACTGAGTAACTCAACACTCGACAGTGTGTACGTGGAGTCACTGTGATTACCACAACCGGGCTAACAGTGAACACGGCAATGGAAGGGAATTTCGACGTCTTGGGTTAACCCTACTCTGCGTACAAAGCATTGTATCTCGTTAAGATAAGGGAACTTTTCTCGTCCACCATATCTGAAACCAGCCCGCAGCAACGCATTGGCGGGGTAAGGTTCTTGTCTTGGCTGAACATTAATGCTTTCGTGAAGATTGCGTCTGGTTGCGTGGGAACTGAATTGGCGTATCCGGTGCTGCGCTTGCGGTGACAGCCAGTCGACGTCGAGTCCCGTGCTGGTGAACTCTGCCATCGTGCTAAGCTCTGGGTGTGTGATACCGGACTCAGCACCGGAGAACACTTTTTGTCATTCCAATCCCTGTGGCTCACCGTTAACCTTTTATTGGGACGCTGGGCAAATTGGAGTTGCAACAAAACCTCGGCTTCCCTCTTCCTTTGTGTTCAGTCAGCGGGCTCACAATTCACCCGGCAGCATGAACGCCAAACGGGGCCGTAAGAAAGAAGGATTTTTACAAGTGAAGTTGTCTTCACGATCAGCTTTGGGCAAGGTAAGTTTATAGGGCATACACACTACACAGTAGAGTTCACAACATTTGGAGCTCGGCGACACACCTGGCCTTGGTTTGTCTTCATTACCTGCTCTTTGCTCATACCTAAAGCTTTCGAGATTGGAGGTGGGACCACTCTTTCGTTTCTCCCTCGGGGTGCACTGAACCAATTCAAGCTCCATTGAAAACAGTTTCAAATCAACCAAGTTTGGAGCCCCATGGCAAGCGACTGAAGTCCCTGAGACCTCTCAAACAAAAAACAATGTGTTGTTTGGTCCTTCAGATTTCATTTGATTTTCAACTTGTAGTAAGTTAACCAATGAATTGTTTAATTATCCACCAAAACCAAACTCGCCCCCCCCCAAAAGTGAATGTTCCCAAGTCTTCTCAGCGGCCATTTTTCAAATGACATCCCTCACCTTCCCGGGGCTCTTCCGACACATTTTCAAGCACATTTTTGTCTGCTTTGCCCCCAGATGGGTGCCCCTGAATCTACAGAGATGATCCTGGGCCATACTGACACAATTCCACCATTTCTTGGCCCAAACAGACCCCTCTTTTCGAAAGAATCTGTTCGGGGTACTTTTTGTGTGCCTCGTCCTGGCGGAGAATTTTCCTTGAATTTGGACACTGAACCCTTCAATGCTCCCACATTCCTCATGACCTTTGAACCTTATGGCGATGAGAGAAAGTCAACTCGTGCGGACTGACTGTCGTGAATCTTCCAAAATGTTTTGAGGTTTCACAAGTCAGGACCCTGAGGGTCAAAGGGACTTTTTTACTTAAAAATTGAAAAATGAAAATCGGTACTTTCTAGGTAATTTTCCCAATTAACACGTAAATTACATCCCTCGTCAAAAATACCATGAATATTGCCCACTTCTTTCACTGAAATAAAACCTGAACTTTTCCATTGCCATTTAATTTTGTTGGAAAACAAAATGTGCCAAAAGTGTATCTACATTAAATTATCTGAAGTTCCCTAAGTTAGCGTATGCATCTTGATACTGACCGAAAACTGTTTTCCAGACCCTCCTCAGACCCCTAACCCTAAAAAATTAGACGCGGCATACGTTCAATGGTAGACCAGATGATGGCATTGTTTTTCCTTCGTCAACCCATCATTAGGATGTACATGTACCATCATATCACTCGTCGGACTCGGTTATTTCGAGAATTTTGTTTTGTTGTACAGACGGTTAATTAATTAGCTCAGTGGATTTAATTTTCTTCAAGGGCAAATTTGGAGGCCTTCAAGGGGAATGTCATGATTCCAAATGCACATGTAGAATTTTCCCGATCTGTCTTGTGTATTAACATACCGACTGGATTTCAAGTTAGTTAGGGCACAGCTCCATGGTTAGGGTCGGCCATTCCTTGTCCTCTATACTTTAGGGATGACGTCACCATCAAGTTCTTTCTGGATTCGAATGGAATATCGGGGGGGTACCCTTTCACGTTGTGTGGACTTGATGTCAACCTCCCTTGAAGTACACCATTGTGTGGGTACGATCAAGCGCGATGATCCTATTCTAGATACCGATTATCGCTTGTATACACGCTGCAGTTATCGTGGGTGCGTTTGCTGCCACGACCCCCCAAGAATATGTTTACTGAGAGGATTGGGACGCACATAATTGACAAGTTTAGAGGTAGAGATTTATAGTGGATAATGGGAAGGCTGGTGTTGGGAGAATACCCTGTCACATTGAGGAATAAAGATTATAAAACAGGGGCCCCGTTAAAAGAAGTGACTGAGATCCAGGTAGGCCCATATCAGTGAATTGAATTCATTGGCTGAGTTGTGGGTTGCTCGGACCTGTAGTTTAGTCTTGACCGATGGCTTTAAAGTTTAATTTTCCTTTCTGGTTCAATTTCTCCCTTTCTAAAAATAAAACACACCGGAAGCCCACCGGGAAACCAGAAGGCTACAGAGACGTTGTGTAGTAAATAAGTTTTTAATAACCCATAAATCCTTTTTGAGAGGGGCTCGAAAGCGACTTGTGATGTTTATTTTCGATCTGAATACTCAACGCTGGGAAAAATGTCTTGAAAACGATATGTACTGTAAAAATTATGAACAAACAGGCCGCCTCAGAATAAGGAATTTATCTGGAGTTAAGAAACTACCGTGACGATCTATTGTTTGTCCAAAGAATTACACGAAATAACGTCACTTCAAGGTCTGATGCATGTATTTCATAAGTTTGTGAATAATTGCAGTTACTTTAGGATTTTCATGTTACATGTAAAACAGTTATAAATGGGGCCTACGCCTAGACGAAGTGGAATATTCTAAATAAGGTATTGTTACCGAAAATGTCTAATAACTACATATGGCGCCACTTAATGCCGGCGGTTTAAAGGATGTTTTCCCTTCCTATCATGGTTATTGTTAAACCCCCCCTAGCTATTTACAAACAGTCGATGTAATTTCCATCAGTCCTGGCTTATAGACATGTGACTGGGAAGTGTATTTTGGCGGAACATGGACGGTTTATCTCTCACTCACGAGATAAAAGAAGTACATTTTTACGGTCGTTTGCCAGCATCGCTGACCTTGCGGCAAGTAAATATCTCGTTGACAGTTCAACCAGATTTGATTTTGGGAAACTGCAGATCTCGTAATTGGTCATAACGCAGTACATCATTCAACCTAAAGGCGATGTGTAATTGTACACGCACCTACCCAGGCTATCAAATGACAAAACGGACTTTTTTCTTTCTAGCGCGTAGTTTCATGCGACCTTGGGCTATTTATGTATAACCCATGAAGTCGTTCACACGCACTCGTTAATAAGTTGCAGTCGTGCAAAGCGTCAACACGCGTACACGTTGTGCATAATTTAGACACGAGTCTGTCGACATCAAATGCATGGTGTTTGAACGAACCGATTGTGAATGCCGAAAACCGTTGTCATTTTATAACCTGCACTGAAGTGTAGCTTCCTTGTTTGGCTGCCACAGTGTGACTGTTTCTGAAGCGTGGCTCTGTGTTTCTGTTGGTAGCCTAGCTGTTTGGAATTTCAAGAGGTATATTTCAGGAGCCATCGCTCATTTGTCAATCTTTAGTTTATTTAGAAATACGTTAATCTAAAGGTCAGGCTGCTGTGTTCACCACAACTGTAATATATATACATATTTAATAACAGGCAGAGGTGACTTTATATCTAGTTTCAATTTTTGTTCACTGCGGCAAACAAAACATACGTTTTCTAAATTTCTACGTACAAGGTTCCCACGGAACCCAAAATCTGATAAAGTGTCACGCATAATGTCGGTAAAATGCACAAATGTTCTGCTGTTTGAAATCTCTTTCCGATGCAATTCGGTAACACAGCACGGTGCCTACTGCCACTGGATACGCCCCGCCTCGTCGCGAAATTAACTTTAACCCGATATACCAAAGTATGCCTAATCCAGAGACTTACAGCATTTGGTCGTTGGATTTATTAGGGGAAAAAACACACAGAAATGTTTTTGGCCTTCTTGTCAGGTACATGTACAGACGTAAGACATTTCCAAGGTGGGGCTTTTAATGCAATAAGCCATCTTTCATCGCTTTTTTCATGTCGCGATTGAAACAAACGACTGATTTCCGGTTTGTTAATACGAAAGTACCTGTCAGATTTCCAGGCACATGCAGGGAGCAGGCTCATTGTCAAAGAAAGTTACACCGAAATAGCAACAAACATGATGCTGGAGAAATTGTGAGAGATCTAAAAAACTGGTGGAAGCTATACCACAATGTAATTGGTGTGAAAAAAAAAAGAGTTCAGCAGGTGCTTATTAAACACAGAGAGATATCTATATATCCTTGGCAATTTTAGAGGCTGTCGTATAGAATGCGATTTTATACAGAATATGGAACACAAATTACAAAAGTCAATGTCTGTGATTAGAATATAGTAAGGGCCTACTCATCTTCAGACCGATGGAAATGTAACTTTGAAGGATGTTGGCACTTACAACCAATATCCGCCAATCCTGACGTCTCAGGCCCACCATGGAACCCATCTACAAGAACAAGTCATTAAAAGGTAGCTGCAATCAATTTGTTGTCATGCAAACCTTAAAAATACAGTTTCGTGTCTCGCTTAAAATTATTTTGAACTTCTGTTTCACTATTTAAAAGAATGTTTTACTGCATCTTTGTTTTTATGCTAATGAGTTTCCATATTCATGAGCAAAACTGTGACATCATCCCAGGAAAAAAATCCTCAATATTGCATTGGTTTGTACATGAAGAACTGCTGCGTTTTGGTAGATTTTGCTGGACTGAATTTTCTCTTCTGTGCTTATTAACTGTTGTATACATGTACATTCGTAGCAGTAAGCAAGCGTCAGTATCTTCCTTAGAAACAATTTGCCCTAGATAGCATCACAGCAACAGCGCCCTCAGCAGTGCACTTTTAATGCATGCAACCAACCAGGAGTGCAAATACCGAGTAGAATACGAAGAAGAGTAGGCCTATGAAGTTCCAGAAAAACTGCCCAAGAAGAATTCGTTGCAGCTACACTTTAAATTTATCCTCTGGTGTGTCACTTTCAAAACATAGTGAACCTTCAAATCACGTAGCCTGTCGGGGTGAGGATTGTTGGTGTGGTGACCTGGTTTTTGAAGTGTTTCAGTAGATTTATATAAAACGGGTTTTGCCCTTACCCAACGTATATATTAATAAACACTGTATGCTCAGTGTTTAATTAACATCTCCCCAACGCAAAAATACATCTTGAAAAATGTTTCAGTGGAGAAATACTGTGAACTCTCTTAGTTGTTGATTTCTTCAAAACTTGTTCAGACTGCTGCCTACTTCTGCATGAGTTCTACGGTTGGTCCGACCCACTACCATTGCCCTCCCGGTGTCCCACGCAGCGAATGAGCCTGACCTTTTATTATGCTGACTGTAAAGGTCAAAAGATATAGAAAGACATATATCTTTGTGGAATGCACAAGGTGTGCGGGGTCACTCGCGCGGATTTGGGGGCGATGGGTTAGCCTTTCCAAATATTGAAGATTTATATCCGTCACGCGGTATTTTGACGCCTTTGTTTTAATGTGTTGTGTGATGTAACAGAAGTCATCTCACACAATGCAATAAATTGGAATTTACGTGTAGTTGTAATCGCTAAAATGAGAATAATCCTCCTTAACCAGATATTTGGAGGCAGTGAAAACTCTACATAGTTGATATGTTGACAACCACTGGTTCCCTCCCTGGATTGAGACAAGCAACATCATTGTTTTCCCATGAGATCGAATCGCGCATAAAGTTGTCAACCAGCGAGACTGCAAATGTGTCAAATCGCCATGACTCATACCTATGGGTGCAGATTCACAGTATAGACCTAAGCCGAAATGCGACGTTTCGCAAGGTGACACTCCCGCGCGACCGTCCTGAAACAGCGCCAAGCATGATGATGACGCGACACAAAACTCTCGCAGTGAGCGACCCCCCCCCCGTCCTTACGCAGGAGTCGCCTTCCTTACCCTCGGTTCCTGAAGGGAGGCCATCCTATTCAGGAAATGACTCGTCTAGCCGGAACAACATGCCGAAAACATAAGTGTAAACGCGTTTTCTTGTCCCATTCATCGTTTTCCGTTTGCCGAGCCATTTTTGCGGTCCCCGGGGCAGGGTCTTACACAACCCGTCTCGCAAGAGTGACTGTCAAAAATGTCAATTGTCGACAAGGTCTCTCACTGAAATCTCGATTTTTACTGTGCATGGAGGAATGGCGGAAATATTTGCGATTTTGTTATTTGCAGTGAGAACCACAGTGTTCCTTTAAATGTTTGTCTAAATTCATCCAAACCGTGCCCTTTAAAATATTATTAGTTTAAATTAAAAATTAGGACTGTTCTAAAGAGTACCGAATTTAAACGAGACCGTTGATAAAAGTGGGGATTTGGTGTCCATTTTTTGTTTATTTTTTTAAGGCGCTAACACAAGCAGTAGTGTGCAGTGGCTTGGACGAAGCTTCTTAATTCCTGACTCTAGTATTGAAGCATTTTGCCGTTTCCCCCCAAACGATGCACCCGTCCCTTCGGCGCACCTGCATTTATCAAGTTGATAACTGGTTTTGAGAACAATGCAGTTCTTAAACTTTCCCATTTGCAAGCCATCTTCCATCCAGGGAAGTAAATAGGCCTTCAAATTTTGAACTGTCTCCATTATCAGGGTTATATTTGCTCTTGGTTATGACACTGAACCCCCCTTGACCAACCTCGACCTCGTCCGCCTGATCCCAGATACGTGAACAAAGGAATACATGTGCATACAAGAATATTTAACTCGTCGCTTCAAACACTGGGTCACGCGTCGCATATCTGCGAGACCAAAGGTCCCCCATGTTTTCAAGTGTACTTGCTATTACAATAAACGACGCGAGTTTATTTACGGCAGCGTAATGGGCTTCCATCGAAGTGTAACGTGCATGGTGTACATGTAGAAACCGTGAACGACATGACACTGGCAGGCTGTGTTCTGTCTTATTATGCTCCAGCATAGAGCTACGGTCCAACTGTAGGACCTGTATACAAGAAATGAGCCGACTGCCGAAACCAAACACATAATACACGTATAGGTACCACGCAGACTACAACCAAAATTTATTCCGTGTGACCTGAAATTCAGCTATTGTATAAGCTATACAAGGGATTCTCTCAGAATTTCTGGAGATATAGCGTACGTCATAGGTAACAGTGTTTCCGATTTTCATTGGCGCAAATTTTACAGTATATTACTGTGTTTGTCCAATCAGATCCGTCGTAAATTTTCAATGCTTCTCTCCCTATCATTGTAAAGTCCCACTTGGTGTCACGTTCAATACAAGTTTATTTCATAATACTTTCAATTGTTTCCCTTCAGTTTCGATTTGCCTGTAAAGCACAAAGCTGGAAAGAAATCATTTTGTATTGAAAATGTACTCGCACAGAAGTCTATATTTGAATTACAAAAATAGATCTCGTCATAAGTATTGTTTACACATTAAACAGCCGTACAGAATTAGTAACTCTGATCTATGTTGGCTTATTTTGCCTGAAAATTGTTGCCACCAGAAAAGGAGAAATATTGCCATTAAGAATTGCAATCTAATCGATATTTCATATTTTCTCAGTGTGTTCCGCCCTTAGTGTTCCCCAAATTTTATTTTTTAATTAGATATCGATTACATCTTTTTCTTATACTTGATTTTTTGTTTTGGTTATTATTTCTATTGTTTTTAGGCCTGGAAGCGTAAATGGGTGGTGGTTCAGCAGAACACCTCATCGACAGGCAAGTCCCTCCTGCTAGAACTGTACATGGAGAAGGGCGCTTACCACAAGACCGTCACCAGCCTGCTGCTAGAGGGCGTGGTCAACGTGCAGCGGACCACCTCCAAGACGCAAGAGCACGCCGTCGAGATCTCCTCGGCATCCAAGGTCCTGCTGGCCGTCAGCGCCGACAGCGAGACGGAGACCCAGGAGTGGTTAAGCATGTTTCAGATCAACCTGCTGCCACCCATCAAGGAGCTGCCTTGCCCGCCCGGTATTAACGAAGGTCGGTGTCGCCTTCCTCTCTCTGTGTCAATCATACGGAAGGGCAATTCCACGCAAAGGGATTTTCATTATTAGTCGCATAATTCATAAACAAAATGATTTTTTTTCAAAGGAAGTGGAAATAAATGATGTTACTACATTTTACTTCCACTTTCATTTTTTGAAAAACATCTTTTTTGTTTATGAATCACAAAATAATAATGGGGTCGGTTACACCGTAACCAATGCTCATTGTTACCTAACATTTAGGAGATACTTTTTACAGAAACCTGGCGAAAACAGGTTGTCACTCAGATTTCCCGCGAATAATTGTTGTGACTCATTCTCAACTAATCCTCTGAGTACGCATATACGATGCAGAGACGTGTACATTCGCCGTCATGCCATATATTTCCTATTTCACCGCTCCTCCTAAACATAGTTCCAACACTTTTACAACAAATCTGGCTAAAAACGCCAAACTGCGCACCCAAATCCTTTTCATTCGAATGTTGCTTTGTAATTCATTTCGATCTCAGTGACGCGGACAGAAAGGTAAACGGGCCACAGTTACCTTTGACTGAAACATATAATAGAATTGTGATGAATTTCTCACTTTTAATTTGACGCTGACTGAGCATCACGAACGGATGAGTTACCTTCAAAACAAAGACTATAACCGACAATTTAAATGACATGCCATCACGTAATCCATTTTACAGTGGGTTTATTTCCAACCTGCAGTTAAAAAGTAAACCCCCCTCCGTAGCTGTTGAAACTGGTCAAGTACCCAGAAGAACTGCATTGGCAGCTGTGTCTCGAAATTCATGTACTGCGGTGTGAAAACTTGAGCCGCCCCCGACTTTTAGCGCGCTCTAACCAGTCTTTACAAGTTGAGTTCTTAGCGAGACTGACCTCGCATCTGGTGTACACTCCTAACATCCACTATTCCAATTCGCCCTTCAAATAGATTTTATACGAGTCAGCGTGATTCCCAACAAGGACTCAGAGCGACTGAAGCTGGCAGGGGACTACTTCGCCCACATCTCGCTGGCTAGTATCAACCTCTACGACACGCGCACTGGAAAGGTCGCTCTGGATTGGAATCTGAGACACCTGAAGAAATTCATGCTCATCTCCAAGTGCCACCCGCTGGACGCTGAAAAGATTGTGCATATCTTGCCAAGCAAGTAAGAACAATTGTATTGAAAAGATATTGGCTCATTTCACGGGTTTTATTTTCGTTAATGTACACGTAGGCCTAATGCCCTGTTCTGTTCCGTGTTCTGTTAAGTGTCCTCATTCTGCAGGCCTATAAAATGATCTTGTCTTTTAAAGGATGTTAAATGATGTAAACATGCATTGATTGCTTTGGTATTTAAAACCCTTTGGACAGAGCAGAAAAGCTGTTGTCGTAGGGATTATCTCCGCGGATCTGCATCGGATTTGAATGAATTCTTCAGATTTGAAAAGATAATGATTCTAAGCTTCAGTTTCATGCTGGTAACAACAGTTGCTGACAATTAGTTTGGAAGAAAATAAATGTTACTTTCAGGTTGCGTTCCTCAAGGGAGGGACACCCTTCATTGGACGTCACAACTAGGGAGCCATCAAAGTCCGCCAGTTTGCGTTGAGATGATTTTTAAATGTACTGGTCAGTAACACTGCCGTTTATCATGCTAGGCAGGAGCGTATGTATGTTTTCTTGATACAGGTTGTGATATTGTCATCGCCATCTTTTTTTGGTGTTTGTTTCTTTTAGGCGTTCCCCGCAAGGAGAGGGCGAATTCATCTTCTTTAGTGCCAAAGGGAAGCAACTGGTTGAGGACATCTATGAAAGGCTGAGCAATGCCATGACGGTCAAGTCTCGGCGCTCAAGGTCCACCTCCATGCTCTTTGAGATCACTCCTCAGGAACTGGAGCAGATGTTCAATGCAGCAGAGCAGTCTCCCGAGGAGACACTCCCAGAGGCCGAGGAGGAAGACAGGGAGGTGAAGGATAGGACGGAGGAAGAAAAAGTGAATGGCGAGACGGCACTGGAAGTACCAGATGTGGAAGAGACCAAGGCCAACGGAGTGAAAGATGACTTGGAGTCTAAAGAGATTGAACCACCTTCGGATGAGAAGAAGGAAGACGAGACACCAGTCGAAGAGGAAACTGAAAACCTGGCAGATGGACCTCAACAGGAAGAAAATAAGATGGAACATGCGGAAGACACAATTGAGAAAGTTGAGGATGCAAAGGACGATGACCAAAATGAGTGTGGAGGTAGCGGAGAAGATGTCGAGGTATTGCCACTAGAGGCCAACTCGGAGGATGTTGCGCAACAAGTAGGCGACGTAAGTGTGACCCCAGAGGGCCAAGATGCTGGAGTTGTGCTTTCACCCGAAGACACGGAGGAGATGGAGATGGAGAATGCTGGCTTACCGGAGCAGGATGAGGACAAAGCCAATCAGACAAATCCAGAGGAGATGGACGAGTGTCTAGCTGCCGATGGCCCAAGTGCGGAGGAACAGACAACGGTCAGTGTTGAGATGGTAACATCCGGTCAGGATGATAATCAAGTCCAGGAAGCTGTTGAAGCAAACACGGTGGAACAAGTGGAATCTCAACCTGTCGAATCGAATCCCGTTCAAGAAGGCACTCCTGAGATTGTGATGGCAGAAACCAGCCGAGCCGAAGAGGTTCCTCAAGCTACCAAAGATGAAGCAGCCGTTTCGACTGAAGGCAAACCGTGTCTAGATTATCCAGGAAGTGGCATCCACGACAAAGCTGCTGTCCTTGAACCGGTTCGTGGGAATGAAGCATGTGATTCAAAGACTGATGATGGTCCTAGTTGTGGGCAAGAAACTGAGCAGGCTTCCTCGATCACACTTCAGGAAGCCCCTGAAACCAAAGAAGATACTAAAGGGGAGACAATGAACATGGAACAAGGATCTGGTTTGCCAGAGGAGGAAGCGATAGAGGAGAAATCCAATCCAAACACGGAAGCAGTGGAAGCGGAAGAGGCAAACGCAGCAGTGCGGCCGTCCTCAGATTTAAAGGAACAAGCAGAAGAAAAAAGTCACATCAGAGAGATTTCGCCGACGACAGAGGAAGATGCTACCGGGGAACGACCGCAGGCAAATGTAGACGAGCAGAGTGTACGTTCGACAGAGAGAGTCGAGGACCATTCTCCTGCTGGATTGGACCAGGTCGGAGATGGAGGAAACGTTGCAACCGTCGAACCCACAGAAACGAAGGATTCTGAACAGGTTCAAGACAACAGTGCCGGTCAGGATCTTCCTGAGACCGGCATTGAATCGACTGACAGCAGTCCCGAGCCTGCTGCGCAGCTAACGGTGGCACCAGCCTCGGAACCAGCCGGGAATCCTACCGAGGAAGGATCGAGAGAGGTGTCCGTCGATGCTTCTAACCCAAACCACAACAACAGCAACGCCAATCTCCTCACCAGATCGAATACCAAGACCGCTGTGCCCTTGCCAAACACGCTGACATTGTGCATGGTAGACGCCCTGAGAAACGCCCAGAAACGACAGCAGCCCACCGATGCATCACCCAGTCAGCAAACCCAGACGGGCTTCCCCCTGGATCAAGGCGGTGCAGACAAAACATCAGGTAAGTCTCTCAATCAATTATAGTTGACATGAAAGACCCACACGACTACATGTATTGTTTTTTTCTAGTCACACTACACATTGCATACATTACACATTGCCCTAACGCCGCCATATTTTCATAGATGGCAGTGCATTTGCCAAGACTACGGGTGCTGATCAATAAGGTCTCGCAATAATGCTTTAATTGGTTTGTGAATGCGTTGCCCATTGCCGCCCTGTCTATATGTTACCACATTGACTTACACCCGGCTGCAAAATAGTGTGAGGAAATTTACATATAAATTACCCCGGCAAACAAGCCTGCCTAACACGTATCTGTGTGCTAGATAATGCTTGTTTCAATCGTGCATACAGTTTCATATTCTCTTCTGTTATGATCTTACTCCTTGGCCCGCGATCACATGTAAGCTGATCGCAGGAGATAGCGACGAACCTTATTTTTTGTCAGGTGGTTTGTGATTTCAATGGGAAAGCAAACTTTCTTGACAAAATAAACTAACCAAAACACGATTTGCTTCTCTTTGGATTTTTTTTGTTTCATAATGAAATTTACGAGACTCAGTGAGTCTGCAGGATATATTGCCTACTTCCATGAATAATTCCAGGGACCCGGCATTCATGCTACCACAACACCTGCTGCATTTATCTCCAACAAATAAAGGTCCTTTCTACGGTACAAATCACGCCATTTCCCAAACTCTGACTTCTTATCAATCTTCCGCTTTGTTTCTCGCTCAGATATGGAACATGTGGCTGGTTACCATTGATTTCTCGCTGGCATTACAGCTGAGGTTATTCCTGAAGCATAAAAGAAGACCCTTATTCCAACCCAATTGCCGAGCACAGGGACCGAAATCATTTAGTAAGCCTTAATGGCTGAGATTTAAAAACAGAATAGCCTCAAGGAATTAAATTACGCCTTACTTTCGGTTTTTTAAAAACTCCATTATTTGTTCTCTTCCGTTCGAGAGGACACTGTCACATCTAGATTCTATGACACATTTCATAATTCGGTTTCTTGACAGAAATAATCGTGTAACCTGAGACGGTTATCGCTATGACAACCATCCTGCTGAGGGAAGTGTTTACTTTCTTATGACAGAAGCTCGACAGAGGGCGACAGCATTGCTTCGACTTGGAAGCGCTCATTAATTGCAGATCTATAGTTTGGCTCTTCGTTTAAGAATTGTCATTTTGTTTGGTGCTTATTGTATGAAAGACTAACATGCTCGACTCTTTATTTTACAGCTACAAAGAATCTATATCGGTCGCACAGGATTTTTTTTATATATTTCTAATATGGTTTTAAGGAGAAACATGATGTGTATGCTGGAAGTAGGTTGGAAGATAAACTTTGTTGCAAATGAATGACAAAGAATGTGAATTAATCCTATGGCGTCATATAGGAAGATAAATTCTTATTTTGAACAATTATAGCAGATAAAGGTGTCATGAATTGGTGAGTAACATTTATGAGGGGTATTGTTTGTCAAAATATGAAAGATGCACCACAACCAGGAAACACTGTTGCCAATATACATGGGGGAGCAAAGTCCGTTTCTGTATGCAAATTATACCCAGCTGAAGTAATTTCTGTGCTGCGAAACAAGAACAGCGCAGCTTTCAAAATATTAGATCGATTCGGTATGGTAAACACTCATGCATTCATAATTGAAATGCGGCGTACATGTGGAAGTGTTTGCGTCTGGTTCAGTGCGCTACTTACAAGCCTTTCAGCCCGGGGTAACATCGCACATCCTGGTTGATGTACATGTTGAGTGTATTCTCTGAATTAAAACAAAACTGTACATTTTAAAAGGACCAGTAATTCATCTTTTCAACTCTTCAGCCCCTCTGCAGTTAGTGCGATGCGATGTTAAATGTAGTATCTAGCAAAATGAACACAAGTACCTTGTATTTTTGTTATTTTATAAACCTTAATAACCCTGACCCCCTGGGGTGTATGTCAAATTAGATTGAAATAGAGGGATTGAGGATTGTTGGGGTTGATATATTTCTGATTTTTAGACTAACCACACCCTCATTTGAAGCATACCCCAATCATATTGTTTTAACCTCAGTTTCCCCCTTAATTCACAGATCAAAGAGCTGTATGACCCTAAACCTACGCTTAATTGCCCTATTCAGAAGTCGGCCATATTGAATTGAAAGCAAGGTTGATTTTTTTGCTATTGTTGGAACCCGAAAATAAAATAAAAGTAATGAAACCTAAAAATCCACTAGAGATGATGGTCATTTTTAATTCCACAATTAACGAGAAAAAAAACTGAGTCCCGGATCCCCCAAATAATTAGGCACCATCCCATTTAACAGATAACATTTATTAAGGTAGAATCTGGGAACATAATCAAAAATGGCCTCCCTGTGAATACAGTCCATTCGTTTTCGCTGTGTCTGCCTATTAAACTTGAGCAATGTGGTCGATTGATCCATAGGGCCAACTCATCAATGTCAGTCATTCATTGAGGAAGATGTTTATTTTATTTTACACATGAGTGTCTCATTTAACTGACGAGCACAGTTATATAACTGCACATGTACCTCCAAAAACTGTAAGGATAGATTTGATGTGTGTCGTCACTAACTTGCTTTAATTGAGTCAAAGACGAAAGGAAAGTTACACAATTCCACTTTTGACAGGCAAGCAAAACAGTGTGTTTTAACTCTAATTATCTTCATCATGAGTTTATCTTATAATTATGTCTGTTTTTTTTATGAATGCAAGAGTAAATATATTGCGGTGTGTATCTTACAATACATGCGTCGTCATACTTATATTGTAAATAGAGCATGCGTTTAATGCTGTCAGGAAACGTTTATCCATTGATTTCCCCGTTGGTAAGGGTTCGCCATTTGACCATGTTATAATTCGATTTGTTGGTGAGTAATGTCATGTGACATTTCCCTTCGTTGATTGGTTTGGCTGTCGGGTTAGGTTTAGATACGTAAGTATTAGGTAATCTCACATGACATTGCCGGGTTTTAATTTTTATGCTATTGCCAGGTGAGACGTATGCATGAAGGTAGAGATGATGCCAAGGCTCATGGTTTAAATTCCGACTAAAAATGTCCCTAACATTTTCTGTTCCTCATTTTCCAAAGCAATACCGCATTCGCTACTTCAACCGACCGCAGCACTAGACCCCTTGATTGAATACAATTCGCCTTGGTGCCCTCATCGGTTGATAAGAGCCATGTTGGTCGAAAATGTTCAGATTGTTGGTAGTGATGCTCCCGTAAACGCGTGCATTTCGTATTTGTGAACTAGCGAAGTGCAGTTTCCACCAAAGGAGCCTCTGTTGCTGGGAAGATTGCGCCCTCTCTTGGTCCATCTTTGGGCTCTTAACACAGTCATCTACACAGCGTTAACGTGTAATATTTTGCTTCCTCACAGTATGTTGACGAAAATTTATTGTAAGAATTGAAATCTGCATGACTGGCCAGAAGACAATGCGTACATTTCTGTTTATTTAGCTTTCACTCGATTCGAAATGTGTTCAACTTTTACAAATTAGCAACGTGAATATTTGGTCTGATGTCACAAATTTGCGTTCGTGTACGCTTTCGCGCTAGGTATGAACCGACTTTCATACGGAACTAGGGAACATATTCGTACGTTTATTTATTATTATTTTTTAATTGGGTAACGTTTCCAAATTTATATTTGATTGCATGTAACCAAGAACTTGAAAACTATGAATCGAAAATTTATCAAACTAGATACTCGGAAGTGCTACAAAGTAAGTAATGCTGTAATGGGTATTGTTTTAACGTATTTTATTGAACGTAACCAAGAGTTTAAAAATGAGCATAGGAAAATAGTGCCATTGTATACTCGAAAGTGTTGTAATTTGTGTTTTAAAATAAAATAATATGCAAATCAATTTGATTTGTTGGTTTCTTTCACATTGTTTTGCTCAATTTCACTTTTGGGGAAAGTTTGGCTCAAACTGAGTATTTTAAATCATTTTGTAGCTTGTGAAGAAAAAAAGTGTTGAAAAGATATTATTCTTATTGGAATTGCACAAATGAAATTCTAAAAAGGCAAGTTTGAAGGGCGATCGATGGGTTTAATTCAAGAAGACGGCTGTGTTCATTCTCTGGAGAATTCCCTGCTGAAGCATTCCTACTCAGTCCGTGTGCGCACCCATATCTCGCTTTTTCTTAAAAGTTAAGTTTTTTTCATGCACTTGGCATTTTGTGACTTGAGTTTCATTGACTAGGCCTGTCCCTCTCCCTCTATTACACAACTTTGTCGGTTTCTACAGATCCCCCTGTATATAGCACAGATCATGAGGCACGGGACATGTACGGCATCATAGGATGCAGATAAGTAAGCTGCCACAGACAACAGTATTATAAATACCCCCACTTCCAAAAAAGAAATCTGGAAAAATGCATTTTCTCTTATGTTTAAGCAATCAACAGCTTCGGTCAATGAATGAACATTTATTTATTTCCATAATGCCACAAGTTTAAATTCTATACAGCAAAATGAATTAATAAATATAATTGAAGTTATACGTATAGTTTGGGGTTAAAGAAAAAAATCAATCCATCAGCACTTATGGAGGCATCTGAGGCAGGTTTAAGCTTGGAGATGCCTTGGCAAAAACGAAACTGAAAATCAAGTTTAAGATTATAGCTTGCTTCCTTTTCTCTCATTTTTCTTTCAGTTTTAGTGGCTTAACCAATGAATTTTGAAGATGTTTCTATCCCGAAATGTCCCGTAGAAACAGTCGTGAAGCCCATTGCTTTACCACTTTGATAATTGTCCCTACACTCCGTTGCAAAATCGAGCAATTTGGAGGGCCCCTTAATTTGGTCTGCGCAGGCAAATTGGGGCCAATTGACTGGCCTGCAATCTGTATAAAGTTTGCATGGCTGCCATTTTACAGGTCAGAGTTTTTGTACCACATGGTATGTACAGAGGAGGTTTTCCTGTGGAACAAAAGAACTGTCATGCAAGATGGCTACCATGCAAAGCCAGTGGCGTGGCTGGGATTTTACTGGTGGGGGGCACAAAGGGGCACCGACATCTTATTGGGGGGGACTAGCTTTCAGTCGTGTGTTTCCTTGGTTGCCATTTTTGTTACCCTTGTTCAGTATCCATTCCTCCGTTTTTATTTGGGGGGGTCACACCGGGAATTGGGGGGGTGCCCCTCAGCCCCCCCCCCCGGCTACTCCACGGTGTAGAGCTTCTATTATGGGAAGCTATCAATGCTCACAACACGCATTGGACTTAGAGCTGCCGTAGAGGGGGCTATACAGATACTAACCATTGAGCAGCTGCCCTTCGGCACTAAACATGGAGGTGTTGGTTAAGTTCGTGGATGAGCGTAACACCACGACATATCCAGCGGGGGGGGGTCTCCTGTCTGGGGAGACATGTTACCATTTTTTCAAAATAAGTATCGAATGCGCCAACACTTTATAAGATATCAAAACTGTCTTTGGGGGTAAATGATGGTTCAAAATTCATTCATTGTGAATGATATTTATAATAATATCCTTTACATACATATGTTTTGAACAATTACTTGTTGAAACAATGGGAATTCGTCTGTCCCCGTATGTCACTGCACAACATGGTTACTTACATTGTATGGCGTACAGGTTCCAAGCAACAACCGATGATAGGGTTATTTAAAGGTCGTGTCACGTGACTCACAGATGTGTACCTAGCTTTCGGTGAGGACTGCGCCAAAACAGCTCTGTTCAAGCGTGACAAATGTCACCTTTAATCTACAAAGCCCAGGTATACCACTTGCGTTTTTCTGAACACTGTACATGTATGTCCAACGTCGTCACATTGATCGCAACTTTTCTGTTGCAGCGCACGAACATGGAGCTGTTTGGACTCACCGCGTCGGTAACTTGGGTGCTGGTGGTCGGCGTGGTGCTCATGTTGGCGTGGTAAGATCTCTCCTTATAAGAAATTTTATCTATTTCTTACATCGAGGAAACTGTTGTGTCTACCATGACCATGAGAAATGCGTAGCTGCACATGGAACGCTTGCTTCCTCTCTGATACAGAAACCACGGTTTGCTTTTTTTACATAGGGCTGACAACAACTATGTTTTACATAGGGCTGACAACAACTATGTTTTACATAGGGCTGACAACAACTATGTATCAGAACATAATGAAAATACAGCGCTTGCTTGGTGGAAACCGCCAGACAAAGGGAATCGTACTTACCCAGTCAAGGTTGGCACGATCATCGCTGGCTGGCAGCGAAATCGAGGAAAAATCAATGGGTAGTCGTGTTCTATCAGCGAACTTCAATCAAAATCCATTACCATAGCATTATACAGTGTCATGTATTAAGTTTTAGGTACCGCTAACGTGCCGACGAAGTTTCGACTTGTGATTGGTCCATCGTCAGGAAGCTGGGAACAACGATCCTTGTGTGTTACAAGTTCACAAGGGGCCTCATTTCACCAAAATTGTCAATTCAGCCATTATTACTGCTGGCCAAGAGTCTAGTGTCCTTCAATTTCCAGGTATGATTGGTGGTGCCATCAGTACTTCCAGAGACGAGGCATCCCGGTGCCAGACTATATCCCCTTCTTTGGCAACATCCTACAGTGGCGCCACGTAAGATTTTGATTGAAATCTGACTTCAGCATTTTTCGCATAAACTCCGTCCCCAGTCTGTTCCATGTTCGGATGTCTGCCTGTTTGTTTTTCCCTGATTTTACCATGACTGTGAGACCCATTTATAATTGACTTTATTTGTTGGGTGGTGTTCGTGTTGGGTGGGGGTACTTCAAAGTTTGGTCCGCTGCCCAAGCATTGTTTGCATTGAGTGGAAGTGATGCGCGGACCAGAAATACGACCTGGTCAAAGATCATGATTCTACTTCCTTAGATTGATCGTTAAAAAGAGGCATAATTCTACTCTTTATTACTGAGGAGGGATTTCATGTTATTAATATTTAAGGTACCTATTGTGTGAAAGATTTGGTTGTATCTCAGTTTGCCGGAAAAACAAAAAAAAATTAATATTTGCCTTTTCGAGAGAAATAGTTTCAACCTTGGGGAAATAAAATTTAGGTGACAAATTTGAAAGGTAAAAGAAAGTTTGCTTTGTAAAATTGCAATAAAACATATCGCATTATAACTGGAAATCAAAATGGCTAACTTAATAACTTGAAGCCAAACTAGACCTGCTTGTGAAGTGCATTGAGATTGTAGCAACGCACCTATATGTGTAAACGCCTTCAATCGTGGACTCCCTATTGTTCGTCTTTTGTTCATACTTTAACATTTTCAGAAGACCTCCCATATGTTTTGTACACGTTTTCCAACCGTGGACTCTTCAGCAACCGTGGACCCTATTGTCCCCTATTGTTATAGATCCACGATTGAAGGCGTTTACACACTCATCTATACGTCTATTGTCTATATATACATACGCCCTTGTATTTACAACTTACAAGACTTAGACCTATGGCAATAGATTTAGTTTCGAGTATGTGTGGTAATCTTACCCGTTCTTGCATCTTTGATTGTTTCACCTTGATTCACTCTGCAGGGATTCCAAACGGTCTTCACTGATTACGCCAAGAAATACGGCAAGGTTGTCGGGTACGGAAGACTAAACTCTGGCATTCGAACTTCCTCCTGTGCAAGAATTAAGCCCCAATACAGATTTCAAACATGTACATAGTTTAAGATCCTTTTTGAGAAAAGTAAATGACTTCATTTTGTTGATAGACAATTACCACGGTTGTGAATAAAGCTGTCTTGATTACTTCCTGAATTCTTGTAGGACGTATGACTTCCGGACACCAGTCCTGATCATCACCGATCCCGATCTCCTGAAGAATATCCTTGTCAAGAACTTCTCCAGTTTTTGCAACCACCGGGTAAGATGTTCTTTGCTCGCCACACTCTTTCTGTTTTCAGGGGACGACGGGGAAATTCTCAAAATCTTCGAAGGATCGGAATTGTTGAGGCTATTTTTTTCTGTCTATGGATTAAATTGAGGGTTAAACAATATTATGTTATTATGAATGGACAACGCAGACGACTTATATTGTTTGTTCAGCTATTGAATGCATATACTTATCTTATACCTTTGGAATACTTTGCGTATATCCTATATATCTTTTGCTTCACGCAGAAAATCCCAATATCCCAGCGACCACTTAATCGGGGCTTACTTTGGCTGCATGATGAGGAGTGGAAGGAGATACGTAATGTTATTACGCCGTCGTTCAGTGCCTCCAAATGAGAAGGGTATACATGAACGTACCTTTTTTATTAAATTTTTCTCTTTGCCGTTTTTCATTAAAGAATTAAATGCCAAAGTAAAAATGTATACCCTTTATTATGGAAACTCTCGAAATAAGCCCGATTTTGCCAACTTTCTGTAAATCTAACATATTGGCAACAGCAGTGTTTTGTCCAATGAGAAACTCTTAATCTGCTCTATTTTATTGTGCTATGAGCTTGTGGGTTTTTTTTGCCAATTTGCTTACATTTTGGGAGCAGGGCGCACGCGTTCATGGAATAACATTGGCATTCTTCTTTCAACTTTGCGATTGGTGTTGTCTGTGCTATCTTACAATCATCCCAGATGTCTGCGATGATCAATGAATGTTGCGATACTCTGGTGTCAAACTTTAGTAGATCGCAGGCTGGAGGAAAGGCAGTGGATTGTACAGAGTAAGTTACCCTGTTGAAGATTGGAAAATATTTGATTCCGTATAGATGAAGAAATGACTCAGACACTAGCAGTGTTTTTTGTCTAATGAGAAACTCTTTAGGCCTATCTGTTCTATTTAGGGCCCACGTGTTCATGGAATGCCATTGGCATGTTTCTTTCAACTTTGCGATTGATGTTGTCTGTTGCAATCATCCCAGATGTCTGCGATGATTAACCCTAACCCTTCTCAGTCCTCCAACAGGC